TGGGGGCTAGTGGGCGTGAAAGGGCCGTCATAAAACCACCCCGCTGTAGCCGTAGTGAACCTACCTTACAGGGAATCTAGGCCGGCTATTCAGATTGGCTCTAACGTTCCTACTCTAGTATACTGTATGCACGAGCGTAGATACTTTTCTCCAGCTGTTGCTGAACATCCCGAGGTGGAAGAGGTTTAGGATTTCAGGCTTTCGCGCATTGGAGTTTCAATCTTCTCCTGTCCCTTCCCCACTATGAACCTGTGAAAGTTCTGGGAAAACTGAAGCTTGGCCGCCTTTACCTCCAAACCCTGAGCCCTGCGCGACCCAAGATGGCGCAGGTTTTGACCGTCGACACGGTGAATGTGAGAGGCGCTCCGGCCTGCTAGGGTTTTAGGGTTTCGGGCGTCTTGCTTGGATACCCCCCCCCCCCCCGCCGCACACCCTAAACAGCACCTCAAAATACCCATGTAATTCTACTATACCCTTAGCTATCGGTGGGGTGGGCGGAGTACTTAAGGTTTCGAGCTCGAAGAGACGAAATTTGAAGATTGACTCAAAGCCGTGATATCAAATGCCATTGTCTGGCCGTGCTGCAATTGCCGAGAAAACTGGCAGATTGTAGCCGATTCTTTCGCAGTTCATGCTGGAAGTCCGCACACACGTGGGGCTGGTTGAGGGGCAGATGTGACCAGGGAGGAGGAAGACCTTCCAGGATTGCACCCAGGTCTTTCCATCAACTTCAACAAGAAACCAAGAGGCCCTCTTCCTCCGTATATTAGGGAGAGTTGGGCCCCCCTCAGAAGAACCCCCCATACTCAGTTTGAGCGACAGCATGAAATGGAGGCCGGAAGGGGAGCATAGTTGAGAGAACTGACCCTTTGCCTCACGAGCCTCTCATGTACATCGCAACCCCGAAGCATCTGGAGAGGCGGTTTCAACAACCCCTCGCTCAACACCATCTTCTACCTGGATGCCCAGGTGTCCATAGGCCACACTGCTTGCTGTGCGTAGCTGCCCGAGCTCCCGTTCCTTGCTTATCCTGGAGAATCCCTGGGACCCTGTTCGGGAACTTGAACGAACTAAGCTACTCCGAAATGGGTTCTGCAGGGACCGGGATGGTATCCACACTGTAGCAAGAGCCCAGATGTGGGTGCCCATCTAAGGTGACATGGTGCCTTACAGGAACCCTAGGTAGTTGAAGGGTCTCCTACCTGAACATGCACTATTGAAGACTGTACTTCGACGCTCTCTGAAACTTCAAGCCCCTAAAGCCCTCGGTCAGCCTCGGTCATCAGGGGGGGGGGGGGGGGGGGAATGGCCACAACCTAAACCCTAGACCCTAACCCTGTGGCCCTGGACAGGTGTGTTTTGTCAATCTTGGTTGTGAGTTTATAGGGGTTTAGGGTTGAAATGGGCGAGGGTGGTAGTGCGAGGCAATCGGGCGACTTACTGGGACGAGAACCGGCGCTGGTTCATGTACTACCAGGCAGCGTGACTGACTTAAACATACCGGCTGGTATTATGATCCCTGTACGGGATGAGGGTTTAGGGCTTGGTGTGTGCAAGAGGCAAGTAAACCCTGAACCTTGAACCACATCTGGAGGTGTGAGGTGTTGATGCTCGAAAGCCGAGAAACGGCACAAACCTGCATCCACAGAGCGTTTAGGACCCTCAACCCTAGACCCAAAACCCAAATCCCTTACAAGCATGGAGAACCCCAACGCCACCCGAAGAGCCGAGAGATAAACTCCACTTCCTTCCGATAGAGGGACTATTGCCAGAAGCCACAAGGCACGAACCAGAATTCGTAAAGGAGGAGCTTACATAAACTTGAAAAGATCACCCCCTACAGTGACCTTATACATTCAGAAGATATCTGCCCAAAAAAACCGATCCTGGTAGTAAAAAGACCCATGCATAGGTTGGCGTGTAGCGTGAAGCAGATGTGGGGGCTCGAGGGTTTAGGCGGTGCAGGGGGCTTGTGTAGACAATGACTCCGAGCAGAATAGGATTCGACCGAGCACCCCCGCTTGCAAAGCTGCGGTTTCGGGTTATATAGGGTTTAGGGTTTAGGGTTAAGGGTTGAGGGTTTAGGGTTTAGCGTTTAGGGCCTTTAGGCTTTCTACATCATGCCATAGATCAGTTCCCTACACGTCTGTGGGAGGGTTGAGGTGACGGGGGCCAAGGCACGTGGCGGAATGACCTCATTTTCTCCTGGCTAACACTGCTTGGCCTGAACCCCTTCTTCCCAGCATGCCTGCAGCGCGTGAGAGCACTGGGCAAGCTTGGCCCGGTGGGCTGGGTTGAAGCTTGGGTACGAGGGTTTCAGAGACGGACGCTTCCCCTTTGGAGGGCCAAGCCCGTACCTTGAGCCACCGGAACAAGGACAACGTTGAGGACCTCCTCAAGCACTGCCAGCATGAAAGTCGAGTCTCGCTTGTCATGGGCGCTGTCTGGACCCTGGCGAAATAAATCCTCAGTTAAACCCTAAACCCTAAACCCTAAACCCTAAACCCTTTTTGGGGTTGAGGGTTTTGGAGTGGAAAGGACTCAGATCTGCCAAGCTGCAAGCTCAAAGGCCCCAATGGGGGGGTTTTCCGAAAACAGTTGTGCCCTTGTGGGAGGGGCTCCTTTTGCAAGGGCTAGAGTGCTTCGGGGTATACCGGGTGTCCCTACACCCTGAACCCTAAACCCTGTACCGTGCTTTCGGGAAGTAATCATGTTTCAGTCAGGCCCAGGCATGTCTTGTAAGTTGGTCTTATGTGTGATTATATGTCAGAGAACTTGAAGGGTAGGGTCTTCTAAAAAACAGGGATTGGGGTTCCGGCAACTTCTTCTAAACGAACCCGTTGAAAAACCCTACCAGCAACACCCCTAAACCCAAAATGCCCAACATGCCCTAGTTGCCCAAAGTGCCCTGAACACCACAAACGCCCTATACCCGAACAAGGGAGCCGAATTCGCCAGGCCCCCATGAAGCGCTGGGCCATCAGTGTTCGGGACCCCTCCACAGGTGTTTCGCAGCTTTCTTGCTCAGTAGAGACGCTCCCACCCCAAACCCTAAGCCCAAAACCCGAAACTAGGGGCCCAGGGTCCAGGGAGCTTCCGGCATATGGTTGTCAATAGATGAGGGTTCAGGGTTTAGGGTTTAGGGTTTAGGGTTTAGGGTTTAGGGTTTAGGGTTCCGGAGGGTTGATCATGGGCTTAGGGGCTCAAAATCTCACAAGCCTTTACCCGAAAGCATGGTTCCTGCTGATTGGAAACCCGACATCCTCAAATCCAGCACGTTGAACCCTAAACCTAGAACCCTACAGTAGAAGGCCATCTAAAGTGTCGGAAAACAATTCCACCAAACACCCCTTGTTTGTCAGGTCTCCTAGGCCCGGAACCCTGAGCCGAGCGTGTTAAAGGATCCTGGCATATTTTTAGGAGATGGCCATGCCACAGCTCAGGCTGTTGGAAGCCCTCAACCCTCAACCCTCAGCCCTGAAATCCTGAACTCATCCACCCCCCCCCCCCCCCCGGCGCCCAACCCTAAACCCAAAACCCCAAACCTCTTGGGTGGGAGGGGGGAGGATGCTGCAGCGCCTGTCGACCCCAGCCCTAGATGTTGGGGGGTTGATCTGAATCAGGGTTTTGGGGCCTAGGGTTTTGGAGGGTTGCTGCGGTCTGTACTCTTGTATTCCTGTTTGTTTCTTAGATTTCCGTTACATGGCCCGTATCTTTGGAGGTCAGCAACTCCTCCGAAGCCCCCCCAAAAGCCAGGAATACGGCAAGACAAAAGCACCAAACCCTCACCTGTCTCCCCAGAACATCCAGAACCGAAGATCCTGCCATCCTGCCATATATGTCATATATGTATATATATATATATATATCTTCAGGACCCTTAAACCCTACCTGCTTTGGTGTGTGCCCCCCCCCCCCCCCAGAACAGTGGAAGCTGTCTTTTTGTTCCTGTTTAATTTCCCGGCCACGGGTTTCATATGATTTTAATCGGGAGAGTTTTTATAAGTTTGAAAGGGGCAGCGATGCCCGGCTTTTTTTTTGAAGACGAGGCACGTTGAATTTTCTTATGGCGCCCGGATGATTTGACTTTATTCAGGATCCCACCGCTCACCCCGAAGCAGCCAGGGTGTCCTGAATAGCCCAGCCAATTTGACTCTAGAGAGGGGGCCCACGAAAACAGGTCCAGCATGAGACCCTAAATCCGGATTTTAGGGAGATTTCCCCTTCTCAACGGCTTTTACTGACGAGCACCCAAACCCGGAGCTTCCTCCGGCTTCATGGGATAGGATGGGGTTTAGGGTGTGGGGGTTCAGGGGTTAGGGTTTAGGGCCGCAAGCAAAAACTCTAGATTCAGTCAGTACATCTAGCTTCAGTGAACAGTTAGGCAAGTTCTACCCACCCACCAAAACTCTCAGCGCCAAGTCGGAGCCTGAAAGCCGTGAAGCATGCACCCCCAAACCCCATTCTAGCTAGGACCTTGGGTCGTTTTATATTGTCCCTTATTGGGTTTTGGAGGATCATGTTTATGAATGTGTTTCAGAAGGCTTAAAGGGCCAACCGTAATCCCTAAACTCACAGACCCCAAGCCCTAACCCGTCAGGCGAAGACATGTTTGAGGACGCCAAGAAAGGCGGACTGCGCCGAGCTTGGCCACTGCCGGGTTTAGGGCCAAGGGTTTAGGGTTTAGGGTTTAGGGTAATTAAGGGTATTCGGAGCTGATGATTTTGGGTTTGGGCCAAGGGTTTAAAGCCCTAATAAGTTGTAGTTTAGGGCATCGGCTTTAACAGGGTTTAGGGCTTTTAGGAGTTAGGGTTGACGGCTTAGGTTTGGGGGCTTATAGGGCTCAAGAAGGGTTCAGTACACCACTTGAGCAACACACTCAGCCGCTACTCTACGCTCAGGACTTTGAGAGGTCTGGGTGTCGGGCTTATGGTTTAGGATTTTAGGGTGGTTAGGCATAGAAGACTGCCAATGCTATACCCCTCTTTGCCTTGAACCTGATGAAGATCAGCAACACCCAAATTCCCTTCGGCCCTTGTCATGCAGTGCTCGCAGCAGGCATGCCCACTCAGCCACTCGGCGGCCGTTTTCAGGTTGAGCTGTCTATAGTTGTTGGAGGTCGCTCCTGCTCCTGTGCCGGCATTCAGTTCACCAAGCCTTGCAATGGCCCGCTCCAGCTCTCTGCTCGCTTTCTTGCTGTTGGCGCTGGGCTGCTCCGCGATGCTTTGCTTTGTGGGCACAACTCCATCTCCTGTGAGCAAGTCTTTGCGTGCGCCAGCGGTTCAGATGGAGGCGCGCGGTGGCAGCGAGGGCGCGCTGGGCGACATGAGCCCTGACACATACATCATCGGAATCACGGTGTTTGGAATTGCATCCTTGTTCGCCAACATCAGCGGCTTCTTCAACCCATGAGGATGACACGACAGGCTGAGGCCACTGAAAGTGGGCCGGTATCCCACTTAAGGGGAGCATTTTTAAAGCTCGCAGCGGTATCCCTGAGAGACCAGGGACGCAGCTATGCTGCAGGCGTGCTGAGAGACTCGAAAAAAGGAGTAGGGAGCATCATGCGCAATTTTAGATATTTTCGTGTTGGCCAGTCATACAGTCATGTGTGGATCACAGCAGCTGCAGGCATGCCCACTCAGCCACTCGGCGGCCGTTTTCAGGTTGAGCTGTCTATAGTTGTTGGAGGTCGCTCCTGCTCCTGTGCCGGCATTCAGTTCACCAAGCCTTGCAATGGCCCGCTCCAGCTCTCTGCTCGCTTTCTTGCTGTTGGCGCTTGGCTGCTCCGCGATGCTTTGCTTTGTGGGCACAACTCCATCTCCTGTGAGCAAGTCTTTGCGTGCGCCAGCGGTTCAGATGGAGGCGCGCGGTGGCAGCGAGGGCGCGCTGGGCGACATGAGCCCTGACACATACATCATCGGAATCACGGTGTTTGGAATTGCATCCTTGTTCGCCAACATCAGCGGCTTCTTCAACCCATGAGGATGACACGACAGGCTGAGGCCACTGAAAGTGGGCCGGTATCCCACTTAAGGGGAGCATTTTTAAAGCTCGCAGCGGTATCCCTGAGAGACCAGGGACGCAGCTATGCTGCAGGCGTGCTGAGAGACTCGAAAAAAGGAGTAGGGAGCATCGTGCGCAATTTTAGATATTTTTGTGTTGGCCAGTCATACAGTCATGTGTGGATCACAGCAGCTGCAGGCATGCCCACTCAGCCACTCGGCGGCCATTTTCTATAGTTGTTGGAGGTGCCGGCATTCAGTTCACCAAGCCTTGCAATGGCCCGCTCCAGCTCTCTGCTCGCTTTCTTGCTGTTGGCGCTTGGCTGCTCCGTGATGCTTTGCTTTGTGGGCACAACTCCATCTCCTGTGAGCAAGTCTTTGCGTGCGCCAGCGGTTCAGATGGAGGCCCGCGGTGGCAGCGAGGGCGCGCTGGGCGACATGAGCCCTGACACATACATCATCGGAATCACGGTGTTTGGAATTGCATCCTTGTTCGCCAACATCAGCGGCTTCTTCAATCCATGAGGATGAAGACAGGCTCAGGCCACTGAAAGTGGGCCGGTATCCTAGTAAGCGGGATCGTTGATTTTTAAAGCCCGAAGCAGTATCCTTGAGAGACCAGGGAACCAGCTATGCTGCAGGCGTGCCGAGAGACTCGAAAAAGGAATAGGGAGCGTCATGTGCAATGTGTGTGTTGGCCAGGAAGACAGTCATGAAGTGATCG